GTTCATGCACACTTTTGATCACAGCACTTAAGAGGTACAAGCAAATGGATCTCTGTAAGTTCAAGGTCAGCCTGATCTACATATTAAGACCCTGTCTCAAAAATAAATAATTTTTAAAATTTAAACACAAAATGTGCCTTTTTGCTAGGCTTGTGATACATGCCTGTAATCTCAGCATTCTGAAAGCTGAGGCAGAAGAAATGCAGACCAGGTCTATATAGCAATACCATGTCTAAAAGAAGGAAGAGATAGTGATGGTGAAGGTGGGGAGGGATAGGAACTGGGGACGAGGGAGAGAGAGGTGGCTCTAGCTTCCTCTGAAAAGGACAAGGTCCATGAATTCAGTAGCAATAACACTTACAGTTATGAAACTTTGGCAACTGTCTCGTGTGTGTGTGTGTTATGTATGTGTAATATATGTGTGTGATGTGTGTATGATATATGTGTGTGTAATATATATGTGTGTGTATTTATACATATATAAAAGCTTTAGGCCAGACTAGACATGATCTCAAAAAAACTGAAAGAGAGCTGAGCATGATGGTGTTCACCTTTGACCACAACATAATGGAGGCAGAGAAGGCTGTGAGTTAGAGGTTGGCCTGGACAGAGAGGCAGAGAGACACAAAGCTCTGGGGTCATCTCATCACTGAGTGACATGTCTTTCAAGCTGTAGTGTTTTGGACTTCAAGGCTTAGGACAATTACTAGACAGCTTCAGGCACATTTTAGGAAGGAGTCTGGGGCAGAACACTGTAATAACCAATGCTAAGATACCTCAGTGCTTTTCTTGCTCTGCCTTTAGCCTTTAGTAGAATGAGGTAGGTTTGGAGTCACAAGTTTGAGTTATTAATATGTCTACGTGCACAGGCAAGCATAAGACAAAAGTAAAGGAGACGTATAAGACAAAGGCGGGGTCCTAAGTCTCAACTTGATTTTTGTTATCTGCAGGCCCAAGAGGCATTGATGTCATTTAGCAAACGCAGTTTCTAAATGCCTGTTCAGGAATATTTGCACTTAGCAGAAGGCAAGGAAATTATTAAAGATTCACTGGGGCCATATCAAAACTCAAAAACAAGGCCAGGGATTTTTATGGTGAAAGTAAAATTGTTGCAGATTCCTGAGTGGCTGCAGCAGGCAGCAGGCCATGAGACCATGACACAGGTCCCTGCAATGGTGGCAGGCAGTGGGAAGCAGATCCTGAGACCACGCCTCAGGTCCCCAAAGTGGCAGCAGGCAGTGGGCATTGGGTCCTGAGAGCAGCCAGTCCCAGGTAGGGATGGCATAGTTCCCCAAGTGGCTGCAGCAAGTTACGAGTCCCAGGCAGGAAGCCACATGGTGAATGAGAGATCTCAATGGGGCAGCCAGTCCCAAGAAGAGAGACAGACAAGTGGGCACACCAAGAGACCACGCTGCAGGTCTCTGAAGGTGGCTGGTCCCTGTCAGGGAGCCATGAGGCAAATGAGAGACAGAGACATGGATAGGCACTCCATGCAAAGTGAGGTTAGATATTTATTTAGTGGGTTATGGAGGGGAAAGGGGAGAAGAGCAGAGAGAGAGGCAAAGAGAGAGAGACAGAAGGGGAGAAGTTGGGAAAAGGGAGAGACAGAGATGCCTCTTCGAGAGGGAGACAGAAAGAAAGAGACTTGGGCTGCAAGCAGGAAGAAAGATCTGCCTGCCTCAGTGGATGGGGGAGGGAGTGGGTGGGCTTGTCTCTTAAAGGGACAGGACAGACCATTACAGGGATAGTGGTTCAAACTTGTAATCCCAGTACTTGAGAGCTGGGATAGAAGCGATGTGCTGAGGTCATTCTCAGTACATAGCAAGTCCAGAGGCTAATCTTAGATACACAATAGCCTGTCTCAAAACAAAACAAAAACTTCCAAGCACAACCAGCCTTGCTTGTGACCTTTGCTACACAGGAAGGTGGAGAGGGAGACTGAAAGTACAGCTTTGACCTGGGTTATAGAGTGAGTTCAAGGCCAGCCCGGGCAACTCAAGGAGAACCTGCTTCAAAAATAAGAAAGTAACCTAGGTATGGCATCTCACAGCTGAAATCACAGAACTTGGGAGATGAAGGCATGAAGACTGGAAGTCCAAGGCTAACATCAGCAACATATTGAGTTCAAGGCCAGCCTGGACTACAATGGGGAACTATCCCAACCAAAAGCAAACAAACTTTAATTTTGAGACAGGGTCTCAGGTTGGTTGAATTCTTGATTCTTCTGTCTCCACCCCCCCAGTGGCTGAGATAGGTATGCACCACCATGCCCAAATGGTCTAATTCTCTTCTAACACACACATGCCCAGACAGTAATGTAAAGTTGGCAGGTCAGGTGCCAGCTTGGAAGAAAAGAGCAGGAAGGGTGTAGCATGATTAATAAAAACCCACAGACAGATACTGGGGTTCAACCAGAAGGTCAAAAAAGCAAAACAGTCAGCCACAGGCTCTTACCTCTTCCTCAGTCCAAAATGACGACCCTGCCTCCAGGAATCCTCAAAATAAGACTGTGTCTTAGAGCTGCCTCCTCCCATCTTAGATTCCTCTCTAAGGCTGGGATTAAAGACATGTACCACTACTGCCCGGTTTCTATGGCAAACTAGAGTGGCTACTTGGATTAAAGATGTGTGTCACCACTGTCTGGTCTGTAAGGCTGTTTTACTCTCTGATTAGGCAAGCATTATTTATTGAAATACCAATGAAACATCACTACAGAAGGGGACGCAGAAGCCCCTTTGGAGGTACGGAGTGAGTCTTGGGTTGGAGCACCAGCAGAACAATACCATTATTGCTCAGGGGAACAGAATCCCATGGGGCTAAAGGTGGGCTAGGACACCCTGATGAAAGTCAGGCATCCTGCCTAGCTCAATAACACTAGTCACTTGACCTAGCTGCTGGCAGGGCTCATGGAATGCTTCTAGCTCACACAACCAGCTTAGAAGACGGGATGATGAACTAGCAAGCTAGATGAGAAGATGGCAGGATGTGAACCAAAACCCTTCCTAGACCCCGGAGGATCCATAGCTCGAACCTTAAGATCAACAGGGAACCAAAGATTGGGGAATTCTGGGATTGCAGCTTCCCTCATTTGTCTGTACACACACACACACACAGAGAGAGAGAGAGAGAGAGAGAGAGAGAGAGAGAGAGAGAGAGACTCAATTCACACCTTTACCTTTACCTGTGGGGTCTCATTCTTGCTGTTCCTCCTGCCTGGAACTCTTGAACTGTTGTCCTGGAAGCACAGTGGGTAGACAACAAATGATTAGACAGTCTCTCTCTCTCTCTCTCTCTCTCTCTCTCTCTCTCTCTCTCTCTCTCTCTAGCAAGAACATGGCTAGGGCATGTGAGAGGAACCAGGCTGGTTCTGGCCTGGGATTGACCCAGTTCTGAGGCCTCTAGTACATGCAGAATTCAGAACTGGAAAGAGGCTAGGCAGGGTCCTAGGCACCCTACTCTTTCCTGCCTGGTCTTCAGAGGAGCCACTAGTCCTGTCCTTGTTGGGTTGAGCCTCAGGCTGTCTGTCACAGCATCCTCTCTGATGACTGAGACGGGACTAAGGTCTCATAAGTCATGAAAGATTCCATGCCACTCTTCCTCAGAGCGTGGGCTAGGAGCCAGGAAGATGGTATCAGGAAGGGGAGCCCAGTTTGGTGCCCCATCCCTGCAACCAGGAAGGTTCCTGTTGGAAGATGTTTAGGCAAAGCCAAGCATCTGCTGGTCCAGCTGCCTGTGTGTCTAGGCAAATGTCTACCTAGCTTGGAACCCACACCCAAGAGGTTCCACCATACCTACTAATCCCTCTCAAGACCCTTTGAGTGAGCCAGGAACACAGGAAGCCCAGACAGTATCTCCTCCTGCCGAGGGTACCAGGTAAGATACAGGCTGTGGGAACCCATGACTTAGTCACCAGGGCAAACAGTCTCCCCAGCACTTGGCTGTGTTAGGTACCAGAACAGGACAGTGCCAGGGTGGGTGTCAGAGCCACGGAGCTTTAAGGTGAGGGGAACCCTGCCAGAGAGCCAAGAGAGTCCTTACTGGAGGATCAAAGTGGACCCATAAGAAAAATGGCATTGAACACTTGGGCTAGACCTTGGCACAGTCTGGCACTTATGGATTTTCTAACTCTTTTGTTGACATTTTGTTAAATTGGTGGGAGGCCAGATTCCATCTAACTTATTCCATGTGCCGGTGGCATTGCATCTGGCTGGGGACCAGAGCAGGCAGGGCGAGCAACACCTTGCCAGGATTAAACTTGCCTTCCCTGGTCCACAGTGCGTGCAGACACTTGTCACAGACTGAGAACTGATTCTGGCTATAGATTAGCTCTCATCTTTCATACATTCTGAATCCCGATTTCACCTAGACAAGAAAGGACACTCCTCATCCATCACAGTTCCAGGAACTGACCTGACTGGGGTGGTGAGAGAATAAAGAAACGACAGACACAGTCACCTGCACAGAGAAGCTGGGGTCAGGAGCACTGGGCTCTCTAATAGAGAAGCCAAAGTACCTCAGCATGTTTAGTATATACGGTTGAACAGGGAGGTGGGCTCATTGCTTATAGCTGAATCGGGAAGGGTAGGGGACAGGCCGCGGGGACTGGCAGATAAACAAGAAATCAGGATTATTATATACTACTGAACAAGGAGGCAGGCTTAGCAAATCCCAGGAGAAGCAATCTGTAGGAGAGCCTCGCCTAGGGAAGGCTTCGCCATTTCCCATGGGGCTAAGACATTGGCGCCCTTCGCATGGACATGCCCATGTCAATGGCATCCACTCAGGACTTCACTCACTGGTGGCTTCCTCCAGGCCCACAGGGACATTAACTCTGGACAGCTACTGGCATGAGGGGACAGCTGGATGGTGGGGGTAGAACTCAGAACATCTCGCATCTTAGGCGAGAGCTCTACACCTGAGGAGTTCTGTCCTTGCAGAGAACATCACTGTGTCTGTCGCCTGACACTGCCTCCTTCGACGTCTTGGCAGGAGCCTGCAGCATGGACAAATGGTGGTTTTCTGTAGTGGGAATCCTCTTGGCCAGTAAGTGAGGGAATGGCAAGGGGAGCTGGGTACCCTCTCCCCGTCACCTGCTAACTTAGTAGGGAAGGGCAGAATCCTTCTCCTGGGTGAACTCCCACCTCAGGGCTTCTGTTCATTGTCTTCACATTTGTCTGGCCTTGACTGAGGGATGCCAGGGAAAGATTGGAGACCTCAGCTTCCTTGAGAGCTCTCAGGGTCACCTGCTTGGAGCGCTTAGACACACATAGGCAGGTTTGGCATTAACCCCAGAGCCTTCAGAGATTTTCCACAATGTTCTCCATCACCCAGTCAGCCCCTAAGAAGAACCCTGAATGCAGGCAGCATGGTCAGGTCACAGTCTCACCCACAATGGAGAAGCAGACAGTATTTTCAGCACCATCAGGCTAGTCTGGACCTCAGATGTGGTTCGAATAGAATAGATAAGACTCTCAACTCCTGGCAACCAGTTGGGCCTGGGAGACTTCTTGGGAGGGTCCTTGACATGGAGGTTGTGAAGAGACAGAAAGACAAATCCTTAAGACTTGTCCCATTGTCCTCACAGTGTCCGTTCCTGGGTTGGCTAACACAGGAATGCCTTTACCTCCACCCAGGACCTTGTCAGGGAGGGGTGATAACGCAAGTGACTAACTTCATGGTTTGGGGCCTAACCAGGCCCAGGTGTTACCCTCAAGTACCTAAGTGAGCAAGATGTGACAGGGTGAGATCTGAGAGGTTAGGGGTCAGTCCTGCCCACCCGACACTGGAGAACCAGGCCTGTCTTGCTTTGCAGCCTTCCTGGTAGCCTCGGCTTCTACCCTGGCCCTTCTTTCTACACATGAGGACCTTAAGAAACTTCCTTCAGCCCCTGGCACATCTGCTCGGCAAAGTAGCAGCACCCTGGACACCCGAACAGAAACTGTTGACAGCATCTCAGTTGAGAAGAATTCAGAGGCCCTGGAGAAGAGAGCAGGAGCCCTTTCTAAAGAGGCATCAGGAGGCCAGGAGGCCCCCTCAATGTCTGGCCCCTTAGGAAGTACCAGGCCCTCAAGGAGAGGCATACCCAGACCAATCCCCTCAGTCCTGACCACATCTGCAGCCCACAGAACTGCTGATTCTCAGCCAGTGTCCTCAGATGCTGACCCTGTAGCAGAAAACATGGCCTCTAGAACTCTAGAAACAATTGCTATGCCATTGCCACAGCCTTCTTCCACACATGGATCTGAGAAGAAGTTCAGCAAGGTCCCCAAGTTGTCTTGGATAGTCCCTGCCTCTGCATTGCCGGCGACAAACGTTGCACCTAAACCAACATGCCCTCCAGTCAGAGTGTTCCCTTTCCCCATATTTTCTAGAGCTCCATGCCTGTTCCAGAACACCTTCAGTCCCACTGCGTGGAGGACTGGCCACTCCAGGCCAGAGGCATCCCCTTCTGTGGCTCCCAGGAGCTCCTCAGGACTGCCTAACTTTCCAGGGGTGCCTAACACATTGAACGTCACAGAGCCCCTGCTGCCTGCATCTTCAGGAGCATCCCAGCTGGGCCTGCCCTCCCAAGCCTTTACAGTGGGCTCCGGGTCAGCTGAAAACGCTGTAGCTTTGGCCACAGGCCCAGTATCCAGTGATGCTTCTGTGCTGTTGTTGTCCTCAGCAACGTCACCTTCACATCCATTTTCCCCCTACTCCCCGCCCTCCTCATCGGCAGCGCTCCCATCTTCATCCCCATTGCCTGCATCTCTGTCATTCTTCCCATCACCATCCTCGATCCTGGCCCCAATTTCCTCTGTCGCCACAGAAGCCAGGGACCTTCCTCAACCTTCTGTGTCTGTGACCGCACCCTCAACTACAGACTCTTTCATTAAAACCTCAAACCTTGCACCCCTACAGCCCAGCCACCCCGGGCCATGGGTTCCTACCAGCCCGGTCCACCTGCCCACCCTCTCCCTCGCCCCACATAGCTCTGGCTCCACAAAGTTATCTGGAGGTGCTGATACTACCCACTCCCCTACCCTGCCTCACCCTGGCCAAGCTGTGTCTTTGCAGGACTTGAGTTCCTCCACTCCAGGACCTAGTCAAGTGATTCACTCTGTGACCTTCAGGATCAACAGTGAATGCTTCACCACAGCTGCCTGGAACCTGATGGCCCTGAAGCACCAGACGTTGGAGAGGTTTCTCTGCTACCAGGTGTGGCACGTGCTCGCTGGGTAGAAGGGTGTGGATGAAGACAATCTTTCCTACTCTCCTTTCCTTCTGAGTATGCCAGGCACAGCACAACACACACTGTACGGGTCTGGGCTCCTAAGAGCAGCTAGACACAAAATAATAAAATCTAACGAGTGCCATGCTGTGCTCCTGGAAGGAGTCTGAGGAGAAGCTAGGCAGAAATACTTCTTAGAAGTCATTACGGAGAGAAAATCTCACAGTGGGGGAGGCCTCGCCGACCAGAAATAGAGCAGGTTCTTACAGTGCAGCTGCTGGTCTTTTATCAGCACACAGCCTCGTGTAGGACCAGGATGCCCTGGCAAAGTGAGGTACAGTTCCTGCCTCGAGTCCGGAACCAGGATCAGGACAGGCATCCAGGAAAGGAAGCGCCATTTCTTACCTGCCATTCAGGGCATAATTTCCTGTCCATTGTTGAATGGTTCGTTTCTTTATGCACAGTACTTGGGAACCACATCAAACAGTGAAGGGCTTCCCAAGCACGGGGCGGAGGGAACACTGTCTGGGGGGGAACCCAAGTCGCAGAGGGGCTGGCAAAGGACTCTATGGTGAAATGAGGATGGGAGTGGCAGCCCGGGCTGGCAGCTGGCAGGATGCAGAGCCAGGGTGATGGCTTACCACGGTAAAACCTGCACATGTGCCCTGGACAGATAGATTCCAGTTAGGATCTCAAACAAAGTAATCACAAGCCTTGAGTTACCAAAGGGGAACAGCCCAGGAAAGGCCCAGCTGGACCACTTTAGAGGCCAGGGCGGACGGAGGGAGGAGGGATACAAGGCAGGGGTGGGCAGGCTGACTCCCATGCTTCTGCCTCAGCTCCAGCTTGTCTATCGTGAGGCCTTCTCCAGCTTCAAGAATGTCAGCGCCCTGCTGTTTCGGTGAGTGTGGTTCTCAGCTGGCTATGCTGTTAGCAGCCCTAGCCTAGGCTGCTCAACCCTCCCCAAGCGACCAGGAACACCTTGGCCCAGGTGGGTGGGTAAGAGGCTACCAGCGGGGCTGCATGACCTCAGTTGGCCTTCCTGCTATTTCCTAATTCCAGCTGTTGGGTTTGAGCAGTGGTAGGTAACAGGATTGTGAGAAGACAGGCAAAGAGCGCATCAAGCTACTTATTCTGGAGACAGGGTCATGTAAATGATATGCAAATAAATGTAAATCCTCGGGTGGAACTCTCATTCTGGGCTGCTAGGAAAGTCAACTGCCTCCAGAATTGGGGTGGGCGGTATCTAGGCCATGATTACAGCTGTTTCAAAATCAGCTTTCCTTTGGCTGAGTGGTGGTGGTGCACATCTTTAATCCCAGCACTCGGGAGGCAGAAGCAGACAGATCTCTGTGAGTTCGAGGCCACACTGGTCTAGAGTGAGTTCCAGAACAACCGGGGCTACACAGAGAAACCCTGTCTTGGGGGGAAAAATCCTTTTTAATAAACTGAAGTTCATTTCCGTGACTTCTCTGCCCTGAGCCTGTTTTTATCTCCCTGGCTCTGGGATTACACGGGTGCTCACAGGAAGGGCAAGTGGTATTATAGATTCTGTTTCCAGTCTCTCCCTGAGAGCTGCCTGAAGGAGCTGCCTCCCCTCTAGGCTTCCCTCTCTCTAGAGCCCCCTACTTGAACTGCAGCTGAGGCTTTTCCTGTGTCCACTAGACCTCCTGAGAGCTCCCAGCCAGCTCTGGCCTCTTTGAGTAACACCTTGCCCCAGTCTTTCCCCCAACCAGATTCCCAGTGTCTCTCCAAGAACCAGTTCGGTGAGGAGTCCAAGGGAATTCACTTTAACTGAGCATCTGCTGTGTGCCCACCTTCCTGCGTCTTTCAGGCCCCACAGTGACCCTCTCCCAAGGGGAGTTTATCCCCATTTACCAAGGAGCCCCAGCACTGCAGGGGTCATGTGACCGCCTCAGTCATGTGACTGCTTTAGTCCTGCAGGAAGGTTCCTCTCTGCAGTTACTACTTGTCCTGTAGGCTTCTCTCCTTCAGCACACTGCCTTCTGCAGCAGTCAGGCCTACCTTGCCCCAACTGGCTTTCTCCTACAGGCCCGGTTCTACAGAAGTGCAGGCCTCCCTCGTGTTTGGTCAGCCAGATCCCTCAGCCCTAGAAATCCTCTGGACTTTATACCACAAAGTGAAGGGCTCCAGGGGGTTGCTTGGGCACCTGTCCCTGACTGACAACAGCCTCTCCTCTGATGGTGAGTCTAGGGCAACGCCTGCCCCACGTCTCCTCACCCGCTCATGGAGGAGGCTGGCCGGGCTCCTTGGAGGGAATCAGACTCAGTCTGCCCAAGCCCTGAGTAGGCCGTGGAGGGAAAGATGGCTGTTCCAACTTCCCAGACCGCTGTATGTGACTCCTCAGGGTACAACGTAACAGACCTCTCCCGGGAGACCGTCAGCATCAGCTTCATCCTCATGAGGCCCTTCCTGCCCCAGCTGCTTCTGCCGGGATCTCAAGCTTTTATCCTGTTGGAGAAGCAGATCCTCCCACTGGTGAGGTGTCCTCTCCCCTGCTCCTGGGACTGGGATGCTCTCCCTGCCTCCCTTGTCGACAGGACTCTACAGCTGTTAGTGGTAGGTGCAGTGGTCACCAGTGAAAGCAGCACCAGCTTGGCATTTATGGGAAGGCAAGCATGAAGGGAACCCTGCCCGGCCCTGGGGGGAAGCTGGCCGAGGAGGAGAAAGCTCTGAGAGAAGTCAGTGGCTAGGTTGTCACCAGATATCCCTGCCCAGAAGACCATGCTAGAGATGGCCCTCAGGTCCTTATCTAGTGCTTGGCCCCACCCCATCCTGGGCCCTGGAACAGGCACCTCCCAAGCAACCTGACCTCCAGGGCTTCCTATAGGTCACCCCTGAAGTGTCAAGATTCTACAAGGCTAATCCCCAGGACCAGCCCCTCCTCCTGTTCAGGTAGGTTTATCCCATCCAGTCTGCCCAGTCCTTCAGCTACCATATCCCTGCTCACCCAGCCTACTTGGCTGCTCTCTTGGACACGCATCCCTACGGTAGCTCCACCCCTAACCCAAAAAGTCAGGAGATACAGGTGTAGGCTGGAGGCGGCCAATAAGGACCTTGTCTAAGCTGGCTCTGCTCTTGGAGGTGGGAACACAGGGTGTATACTTAGGAGCTCCAAGCTTGCTTCTAGAATATCCTGGCAAAGAGCCCATGACTCTGCACTCTCCCATCCTTCCCCAGCAACGTGAACGAGTGGGTGAGCATTTACATGGAATACAAGTTCAAGAGCCCCGTCCCCACCCACCTCCAAGGCCTGGCCAGTTACTTGGCCCATCACATAACAGACCCCACCCTCCAGAAATCCAGCATGGTGGTCAATGGTGAGTGATCTTGGGCCCCATGTATGGCTCTGGGTCTGCTTATCTCTCCAGGCCTCACTGCCTCCTCTGAGAAGGAGCAGAATTCCCACCAGCAAAGCCTGTGTGCCAGCCCACAGGGAGATCGTGGGCCCAGAGCTCTGTGGGAAACCTTGGCTAGAGATACAAGCTGGCCAGTCAACTCTGTCCTCCCGTAATCCTTAACATGCCAAGAGAGGCGAGAGCAGTGGGTCAGCTCTATTACCAGGGTCAGAACGGCATGAAGACTGTCGCATGGGGCCCCGAGAGGAACAGTTGAGCAGGCTTGTACATCCACGCTGGAGAAATCCACGGTCTCTCAGTCTCCTGGAGCCACCACCTGGAGCTGTTCTGGGGCGGACCCTCAGTCTAGGAATGCAGATTCATCTAAGGGCTGTCCAGGCCACCTCTGTAGTCTCTCAGATTGCTACCTTCTGGTGGGCTCCGCTCTGTAGCTCCCAGAGACAGGGCCTTGGTTTGGGTCCGTGACCCATCTTTCTCAGAGTTGACTTTCAACACGTGATGTGACTGCCCATCAACGCTGACCCTCAGGGACCTAGCATCCCCTTAGCAGACAGTGGGACTACCCACTTCTCTTCAAGGAGGATTGGGCTATGTATTTCTGTAAGTCATTACAGAGCCCCTCCTGGAAGATCAGGGATTATAAAGAACCGGCAGCCAGCAAGATCTCCTGCTGTCAAGTCTGAGAGCACAGCCCACAGCTCTTAGACAGACTGGTAGAGCATGGGCTGGCAGGTTACCACAAAGGGTTAGAGAGTTAATATTTGTTGCCATTGGCTCCTAGCTCCTCCCTTATAGGGAGAACACAGCCAGCCCTCCAAGGCATGTCACAGCAAGTGAGCTGGCTGTGTTCTGGTACCATTTCACCTACAAGCATGGAAACTGTGTATCGGATTCTTTTCCTTTTATACAATTTCCTACTGCTGACATTTCTCATCCACTTAAAAATGTAAGTCCATCTGACCTCATTAGTCTAACCAAAGCAGGCAGCAAAGATGGGCCCTCCAACCAAGTGCACTAACCACTAGATGGAAGCAGTGGCTTTGGGCCAGGGTGTGGTCCTACCCCAGAGCCCTCAGAAGACAGGAGTCCGGGCTGTTATCACCATCCCACCCCATCACCTTAGGTGAGAAGGCAGAGCTGGCACTTTATGAGACACGGCTCCTGATCCTGGATCATCCCTTCATCAAGGCCTTGGAGAGCAAGACCAGTTCTGAGTCCCAGGAGCTTCGTGGCCTGCTGACAAAATGGGTGACTGAGGGGATGGAGGCGTGGAGAAAGGGTGTGCTGCTGGCCTTGGCTGTGCGGCCCGGTGACACTCTCCGTGACACTCTCCTCTGTCTTCTGACCTCAGCTGACCTCCGTCCTCCAGCCATTGCAGAACTTTGGTCAAGTCGTGGTGGAAGAATTCCAGTGAGTCTTCAGTTCGGATCCTGGGGCTGGAGGAGAGGGTCTCTCCGCATCTCTCCAGCCCCCTGAAGCCTGTCATGATCCTCCCAGGCAGGAGCCACTGACTGCCAAAGTGCAAGCTGCCTTCTTTGGGGCTGCACCAGCCCAGGCCGTCATTCAAGACTGCATGCGCCAAGCCCTGAGCTTCCTGCAGGAAGCTGAGGGTCTCCAGTTCGAGATGTTTGTCCCAGTCCTTGGTCAGTGCCTCTCTCTGCTCATGTCCTCCATCCCTCTGCTGTCTCTGGTCTTGCTGCCCATGCTGCCCTTCCCTCCGCCACACAGACTGCATGGCCATGTTTGCTCTTACCCTTCCTCTGAGCCCTCAGGGTACACTGGCTCCGAGTATCCTGGAACAGTCACCATGCCTAGATGTCTCTGAGGGCTTTGAGGATGGAAAACACACTCAACCTTTTCATTCTGTCCAGGCATACCCAGCTCCAGAGCCTCCAGAGGCCCCAGCCATGGGTTCATGCTGAATCTCCAGCTCATCACCTCTCTCCTCATCCTGGTGAGTCTGGCCAGGCAAGGGCTTCTTCCAGAGAAACAGGCTGAGCCTTTGAGACCTTAACTCAAAGGGTCAGCAGCCTGCTATCCACCCAGATCTGAGTTCTCTTCCACACCAGCTAGAGTGACATGCTTTCCATCGGGGGCTTGGGTTTGACCCCATGACTGCACCTCCATAGTTCAGACTGGAGGCCTGAAGCCACACCACAGCAGTGGCTGTGCCACACAAACGTGGAGGCCCTTCTGCCAGGCAGGCAGATGCTGGTCAACCCTGGCTGGCCTCCGCGTGATCTGCCTAACCTCCAGAGTTACTGCCACACTGCTGAGTGGTACAGTCCACATAACAGGGGTCTACCCTGCCTTGGGCAGAAGCCAAGGGGTGGTCAAGCTGACTTCTCCCAGAAGCCACTTGAGCTCTGGACATGGGCTAGGGTGACAAAAGCCGAGCTCTGTCCATAAGGGGAGAACTGGGGCAGAGAATGGAGATGTGCAAAGGGCCAAGGATGCTGTCAGTGATCATCCCTGGTCCAGATGATGAAGGTCCCAAATGATGCCAGCTTGATTCCTGCCTGCCCTCCACCATTACCCAAGGCCATCAAGGTGGGGGAAGGCAGCACCAACCAGCAATTATTTGACCACGTAGCCCACGCTGGCCTCAGGTTTGCAGTGGGCCTCAACCTCAGCTCCAACAGTAGGGTTACAGCCATGTGCTACTATGCTCCACTTCCCTTCCAGACATTCTTTTTGACTCCTGGCTTTTGTCTCTTTTCCTATACCTCCAGGTGGCCCCTGGAGCTGCTCCCCACTTCACCAAGAAGCAAACCCCATACCTCTCCTAGGTCACCTCATCTCACTTCAGCTCACCTAGGGCTTCCAGACAGTACCTCAACCCTGAAGAGTCAAGCTGCAGGAGGCCAGGGCAGGAAGGGCAAGCTTGGGGCTGACTGTCTTCAAGCTCCTGCCTCACCCCACCTCTACACTGCATAAAATTGGGGAAAACACTCGCTCCTGTTGCAAAGCCAGTCCATTTGGGGCTTCCAATCCCCTTAGCTCCCACCTCTCCAGGTGAGCAATGGTTTCCTTCACATAAGGCCAAGCCCACAGGTTCTCTGCAGCATACTTGGGTGAGTTAGGACCAAGGGACTCAGGTTCCACAGGATGTTCTGTCAGGGCCTGCTGCCACCACACACTACCCATGAAATGGGGACCACACTTAGGAAGATGAGAGACCAAGAGCCACTGTGTATACACAGAGCACCCAGGGCTAAAGCCAGGGTGAGTGTCCATGGTGCTCATGAACACTGAACCCCTATGGTGGTCATCACAACTTTGCCCAAGGATTTGTGTCCAGGCTACACAAGAAGCCCCACCTGCCTGCCAACCTCAGCATGGCTCAGACACCCTGGCCAGTCAGAAAGGAGACTTTAACGCCCTATCTGCTGAATAACGAGGACCCTAAAAGGCTGCACTGTCAGTGTTTGGAGGTGGCAGCCAGGAAAGAAGCCCAAAAAGCATGCAAGACAACAGTTGGGAAGAAAGAAAAAAAAAAAAAAAAAAAAAAAAACTACTTGCTGGCTGGATGCCTGGAGTATGCACCAAAGCAGAGGCTGACAGGCGGGGCTGGAAGCAGTCCTCCATTTCCAGCAGGGGGAACCCAAGAGACACTCAGGCCATGTTCCCAGCTGCTTTGAGAGGCTGACAGTGATCCAGCCCAACCCTCCTTAGCAAACCAGGGAAGGCATAGCAGGTTAGCAAAGACAAAATCTCCACCACTACCATCTTGTTTGCCCTGGAACCACAACTCGGGAGAAAACTGCTCCTCCGCTCACCTTGCCGACCCTGCTTGTTAGCAGAACGGGCTGCTGAGACCCCCCAGCCGCTTGTCTTGGGCTTTAATGCCAGGTTTCCCCATGCCAGAGTCTCAGGGACCTGAGAGCCCCCTGGCATTAGCCCAGTCAGGTGATGTGCATGTGGGTTTAGCCCCCATCTCCTGAGGCAGAGTTACTCAGGCAGGACTGGGATAGGCCCTGGAGACCTGAGCAGGAGGCGGAGGGTCCCACCAGCACACAAGTCCAGAGCTGACTTGAGTCTTCTGACAGCCAATGGTTTTGTGTGACCGTGCAGCAAATCCTGTCCGTAGGTTTCTCCATCTGTAACATGAAGGAACTCTTGAATCCCTGCTTCCTGAGTCAGCTTGGAAATCTTATTAAACTTCATACCTACCTTCCTAGCACTTGGAGGCTGAGGCGGGATAGTTTGATATAAGTTTGAGGCCAGTCTAGGCTGCAGATATACAGAGACAGGAACTAGTGGTGTGTGAACAGGCTTAAAGAGCATTAGCAATGGGCTCAAAATCAGGAGCTTGTGAAAGTTTTGGTGAAGGACCATAAAGCTGCTGACGCCGAGTACAGAACTCAAGTCTCTCTAGCTTTGGGTAGATATGGTACCCTGAAGGGCCAGTCATCTAACAAGGAACAGGCACAGATGATTGACACCCCTTTCCTGGTGGTTCCTGCGAGACATACGTAATAGCATGGTTCCTAGTCCCACCAACTTTGAATGCCAGGTGCTGGATCTAAATGCAGTTTCACCATAACCCTCCCCCCCTCCAGGGTTCACATGTGGAAATTTAATCCCTACTGTGATGGGGAATCCAATCCAGCTATTGTGTTTAGAAGGGGTGTGTTTGAGGCGATTAAAATCAAACGGAGCCCCATGATCTAGCACTGGCGGCTCTATAGACCACCCCAAAGACGCACATGCATGTATGTGCTCTTGCCATGTGGTGTCCTGACCCACCTCAGGATTCTGCCAGCAAGATGGCCAGCACCCGATGTGGCTGCTCAACCCTGGACCTCTGAGCCACTGCCCAAGGCTGCGTGTGGTAACACACATATATACCCAGAATGAGGCAGCTGGGGCATCAAGGCTGCTCAGATTGTTAGGCCCGGTCATTAGAACTTCTGCCGTGGTGGTACTGGGGAAGAGAGCAAAGGCATTCACACACTACAGGCTGGCTCTCTAGGGCCTGCACAAGGAAAATGGCAGCTACCACTCCAAATCCCAGATGTTCCAGGCCAGGCTGACTCAGTCTGCTAGTGCAGCTGGGCACAGGCTAGCTGCACAGCCCTGGTGAGCGCTGGTGGACTGGTTCCGGCAAGATAGAGGAAACCCATGTGCCTGGAAATGGCCAGGGTGGGGGTACTGAGGGTGAGTCTAGAAACACCATGGGTGGAGTTGATGGGACACACAGGGACGGAGGGGTGACAGTTCGAGACTCTAGTGGGCACATCTTCAGTCCTGGGAGACAGGCACACGGATGTGGTGAAGAATAGTCTGTCCCAGGTTGGAGTGGCTAGCCAGGAGGTGAGAGCAGGACCAGAAGCCTTTCATACATGCTGGGCAGGAGGAAGGGGGACAGCCTACGGGTGGAGGACCACATGCAACAGTAACTCAACCCCTCAAATACAAGCTAGGACCCGGTTCTAAAAACAACCCAAATGCTTTAATAGCTGGCCCCCAGGGCCCAGTCTCATCAAAACCCTTAAATAAGGCAGGAGCTGCAGCTTGCTAGTCACCAGCTGAGCTCAGCCCACTGTAGGGAGGTGGCCCCAAGAGCTTTGAAAATACTTGAGTCCCCAGTCTATCTTGCATTTGAGTTGCATTGAGTTGACAGAGCCTGTCAGGTCCCTGCAGCTGCTTGTTACTTTATTGGGGTGTGAGATGCAGCCCAGATAAGTCAGAGATATGAATCCAGAGCAGACTCAGGGTCTTCAGGCTAGGTCCCTGCACCAGCGGTGGATATGGGGAGGTGTGTACAAGCTATATGTACCACTCTAAGGTAACCAGGTTCCAAAACACATGAAGACTTGACAAGGTTCTGCCAGCCTCAGTCTCAATATCCCACAGCCTGAGTGAGGTCAAAGGCCTGTCCTGGGCAAGCAGCAGACCAAATCGTAACAGGTTTATGTCAGACATCATCCCACAACAACCCTTGTGAGGTAGGCTGTGTTGTCTTATTCTACAAATGGGGAGCAAGGGCTCAGGAGAGGTGAAATGTTTGCCCAAGACACGCAACAAGGAACACAGCAGCCAGATTCAAGTCCAAGTCAGGTTGGCTCCAATCAATGCCCACAGGTTTCTCAAGGGAAGGAATCCTTTCCAAAGATCCAAGTTCAAAAGTCTCTGCCCAGTTAGGTGGGCCCAGCCCTATTATCCACTCCTAGCCCTGGGCAGTTGGATGTTAGGACAGGTACACAGTGGTCCCCAGGTGGTTGATGGTCCCAACACTAGCTACCAATGCTACAGGTGATGGCTCTGGCTGCCCAGGAGCTGGGGGTGAGGCGAAGGCCGGTCTGGTCCTGAGGCCTTGTGGCCCCAAGTAGGCAGCGCCACACCATTGAGCCAGGCGTTTTCCAACAGGCTGCGGAAGCGTGCCCTCAAGGTGGGGCCTGGTGGGCTGGTGCTGGTGCCAGAGTTAGGTGAGGGATTGCGTGATCCTTCCCCACTGGTCGCCTCAGATTTCTCAGGGCCAGGCGTAGGTGGCTTCTTCCCTGGCTTCTTGACCTTGGGGGCTGGTGACTTATGAGCCAGGGCTTGGCTTTCTGGCTCATCTCTGGTCACTGTGGGTTCTGACGGGGATAAAATTCTGGCCTCAGTTTCAGAGCCACCTACAAAAGAGAAACAGTCAGACTGTAAAATCCAAACTTCAAGGTCTCACTTCCTAGCCTCAAAGTGACCTAAAACAAGGTTTCGCTTGCCCCAGAACAGCAAATGGAACCCCTCGGTGTCACAATTGTCACAGGCAGCCAGTCTTCATATGTGGCCATTGACAGACCAGTGGGAGCTTGCTGAAAAGTCACACTCCTTCCCACGGACACCAGAGCTCCACCTGATGAGGATGCTGCTTGGGAGCCAAACTGAGATGAAAGGATGCTTGCAGGTTAGGAAACACTGGCTGGGCATCTCACCAAAGAGGAGGCTATGCCACACGAGAGCCATCACCTTTCTGCCAAAAAAAAAAAAAACCAGGACAGGAGCCAAAGACCAGGCTGCCAGGAAAAGTTCAGATGGAGAAAGACTCCTCAGGCTGCCAGGAGAGCACAGGAACCTAACTGAAGCAAACCTGATCTGCACCTCTAAGAAAAGGTCATTAGACAACGCCCGCCCCCAGGGGTCATGAGAACCCACAGCTCAGGGAGGGAGTGTGGGCCAGCTAGGACCCATTCCATGGCAGTACTTTGCCTCAGAGAGGCCCATGGCAGAGTGCCTAGCTACTTAAGGAAGTAGAATACATTGCTCAGGAACTCGGCTGGGTGAGGGGCAAGGTGGCAGGAGTGTGGGACAGCAGGGAATCCAGAAACCAGTTTACCGACACAGAGAAAGTCAGGCCATCCTCACCTTGTCATGGCCTAGGAAACCGGAGTGTCCCTAACACACAACAGTGCAGCACATGTGTCCTCTAGGACATGAAAAGTTAAAAATGAAAATAAAAGCACGTTCCACAGCTGAGCAATGTTGGCATATGCCTGTAATCTGGCACTAGAGAGAAAGGAGCATCATGAGTTTGAGGATACTCTGGGTTATATGGAGGGATGCTTTCAAAACCAGAGTGCTACTGAAGAAGCAGGACGGTGCATCATTGTGGAGGAAAGGGGAGCCACAAACAGTTCTCCAATCCAGGGCAACAGGGGTGTATGTAAGTGCCAGGAGACAAGAGAAAACGCACATTCAAAGGCATGTGCTTATGTGGAGCATGGAGCCCTGCCAGATCCTGGGTCTGGAAGGTGAACGAGGATGCTTTACCAGGACTGAAAAGACTGCAGGTGGGAAGTAAGCTCAGAGCAAAGCTGAGGCCCTGTGGATTGGGATGAGTATAAAGCAGGCCCAGGTGCCAAGGGACAGAACTCAGCAGCTTATTTAGGACTAGTGCTCAGACGGAAGACCCTGGAAGGGGAAAACTTGGGGTGGAAAACATGGCCTGGCCGAAGTGCCAGCTGCCTACACAAGACATACAAATTGCAAATCCCAGGCTGGAGAGATGGCTCAGTGCCGTTCCGAAGGTCCCGAGTTCGGTTCCCAGCAACCACGTGGTGGCTCACAACCATTTGTGGTGAGATCTGGCACCCTCTTCCAGCCTGCAGGCACACTTGCAGACAGAATACCAAGACTACTGTATACATGATAAATAAATCTTAAAAAAAAAAAAAAGGAAATATTTGCAAATCCGGAAGGAGGCCATCCACAAGGGGCCAAGAACATTTCCATGTAAACAAATCTCATTGATGCCTAAATGGTCAAGAAGGCAAGGAAAGTCCTCAAGTCCCTGGAACCCCACCCTTTGCTCCAGCCTAAGTTTCTGGAATCATTCAGACCCTTGCCCACCGTCCACACGAGCAGTACACACACCTGTCACTCGCTCACACAGCTCCAGTGGCTACAGGGCTGCCCCATGCTCACCCAGCTGGCGGCGTACACAGTCATGCCACTGCAGGCCCAGCAGGTCAGGGTAGATATCAGGCAGCTGGCGCAGTGCCAGCAGCTTCAGCATGCGTGAGGTGCAGCCATGTAAGGCGCGTTCACGCAAGGCACGCTCCTCTGAGAGCGTAGTGGGCCGTAGCTCCACACGGTGCTCCTGCAGCACGTGGTCCACAGAGGCAGGCGGCAACTTTGGAAAGAGACGCTCCTTCACCAGATGGATGGGCACAAAGATGGCACCCGCTCGTACCACATGGGGGAAGGGGCACTGCTGGGTGCACAGAAACCTCTGTAGCTGCGACAGCAGCTTGTCCAGTAGCCCCTGCACACCCTGGCAGTCCTGCCATGCAGCCTGGCCCCATGGCCCGGTTGTCTCAAGCCACTCGCGCAGTTTCTCTGGTGGAGAGTGGGCCACGGCACCCGAGATGGCATCACAGAGGGACGTGTGCAGCCCTGTAAAGTGCTGTTCTAGGGAGTCTGCTCGGGCTGCAGTAGAGACCTGAACAGTGGCGGGAGCTGGTCCTGAGGCTGGGGCAGGGGCCGGAGCAGGTGATGGAGCAGGAGCAGAGGCTGGGGCCGGGGAGGCCACGGCTATGGCTGGTGGGCTTGGCAGGGCCAGGTTGAAGCACGCCACTGGCAAAGGCTGAGTGAGAATCTGGAGTCCCATGGGCACAGAGGGCGGGTTGGGTGCAGGCTGGGCAAGGGCAGGGGCAGGAGCTGGGGTAGGTGGGGATGGGACAACAGCTGCAGGTAAGGGTGCAGGACGGAGTATCTTGAATTTTCGGAACATGAAGGCCACAGAGCTGTGGAAATTGGTCCTTGGTGTGGTTTCTGTGGCCGCTTCAGATATTTCAGTGACCATCTTTTTTAGGCCCGGCAGAGCTGACTCTGTGTTTTCCGTACCTGGCCCATCCACAGCTTCAGGGGACTTATGTGCCTCAGGACTAATAACCCTGGCAGGGACAGCTTCGGCCACAGACTTCTTCACACTCAAGTCCAGAGCCACCTCCTCACGAAGAGAGCAGGGAGGCCCAGAGGTCTCATCCTGGACAGGCAGGGTCCCCTTGCAATCTTTGTCTTGGCTCTTACTGGGGGCTGAAGTGGAGTCTTGCTCGGCTGTGGGCTCTGGGGTCTGCACATCCAGGTAGTCACGGTAGGGGGCCAGACTAAAAACATTGTCAATCACAGGCATTGGTGGAGAGCTGGGAGGCCTGGCACCTTTCTGTGGAACAGACTGGCGCTCCTTGGCACAGGGGTGCAGTGCTGGTGAAGTGTGGGGACCTGGACTGTCTCGGATGACAATAGGTACCCCAGGACGCTCATCGGGCCTGGGCTGGGGTTGCTCTTTCCTGCAGCTGGGTAGCCATGTCTTCTCTTGCGCTTCCGGTGCTGGTTTCTCTGCAGGTCTCATAGGCTCAGAGCACGGCTGGCTGGCTGGCAAAGGCTGGCATGTTCGCTGGAAGGCACTGGGCTGTGGCACTGGTTGCACACTGTTCTGGGAATGGGAAGGTGGTGTTCCCCCAAGCCCTGGGGATGCCCCATAGAGAGAGAGGTCATCCCTGGCATAAGGGAAACCCAAAGTTTGGGGGACAAAGTCCAGTGGACACCTTGGAGCAAGAGGGGGTTCCAGCTTGAGCCCTGGTGAGGGTGCTGGGAGGGGTGCAGAGGAGTAGGAATAAGTGTCTATCCCAACAGGGGGCAGGTAGGGGGCCTGAGATGCCTGTTGCCTCAGGTAGGGACTTCCCAATCCACCAGCTTGGTATGCAGCCCCCTTGTGTGCTCCTAGAGGTGGCAGTGGGAGCAGAGAGCCGTAGTTACCCTGCTTCTCTGGGTGACGACAAGAAGGAGGGCAGGGCAAGGCCTGTGGCGGTGGGGGCAGTGGATAGTGGGGTGGCACTGCATCCTGGCAAGGGGGTCCCAGAGGCTGGGCAAGCTGGGTCCAAGGACTGGAGGGTCCCTCAGATATTGATTGCTTGGAATCCCCAGAATAGGGAGCCGTGTACTTTGAAGCCAGGAAACCTGGGCCGTGGATGGTTCGATATTTCTCCAGGATAGTCTGGCATGGAGAAAAAGTCAGAGAGGAGTCTTTGCCAGGTGCCCCAGGTGGCAGTCCATGCAAGAACGACCCATCCAGGGGCTGGCCCTTGCCAGGAGCTGGGGCTAGCGAACAGGGTGGGTCAGCAGAGGGCAACAGGGGCCCAGCCACCAGGGTCCAGTCAACATCCAGAGGTCTCTTTGCTCCCCCATCCCCTAGACAAGTGGACAGTCCGTAACACAAAGGGCTGCGGTAGACAGGCTTGGGAGCCGCCAGTGGAGGGCCTGGGTATGCATGAGCTTGGGCACCAAAGGGCAGAAGCTCACTGGTCTCTTGTATCTTTTCAGAGCCTTCTGGCGGAGGGCGGTAGAGCAGGCAGTTTGTCAATAGGTTGTCAGTCCGGAGTGGGGATCCTGCCACACCAGTGGGGTACAAGGGTGGGTATGGGGTCCAGGATGCCAACCGCTCAGATCCTGCCTTGGAAGTACCCCCTATCGGGCAGGAGAAGTATGCACCCTTATAACTGCAGGAGTCCTGGTTGCCAGCAGGAAGGGGCAGGCCATGTCCAGGCCCTGGGTCTGGTTCCAGGCGGGGCAGCTTGCCATATATCACAGGCCCCAGAGGCCCCAGGGGCCGCTTCTCTGCCATTACTGTGAAGGTGTCAAGCCCTCCTGAACCCCTGTGACTGGACTTGTTGACCTGGGAGAGAGGAGAGACAAAGATAGTTAGAGCACAAGCTACTCGTAAACAAGTAGAGGCCCCTCTCTGACTCGTTGCCTCCCAGGACTCTGGTCCTTAGCAATATTCAGCTCGGACTGAATGGAGGAGCTGCCATGCAGTTTTCTGACTCTTTGTTTCCAGTCATCGTTTTTTAAAGTTTAACAATTACATGGACTGTGGCTTATATACAAGTCCACACACCCATTGTAGGGGCCACTTTCTGTTCATTTAACTGCCAGGAAGCCTCCCTTGGGGTTCTGCGCAGTGCTGGAAGGTCAGTTGCCTTGGCCCTCTACTCTGCCTCCCAGGTAAGACCTATCTATCCCAAAGCCACTGAAGAAAGGGATGGCACAGGAAGTGGGCTGCCCTTCTCTCCTGGTTCCTAGTCCAAGATGCCACCGGTCTCATAACGCTCCTACAGCCAAGACATAGAATTTCTGCGCTGCCTACAAATTTAGTTTCTTCTAATGCTTTATTGACCCACTTGTCTTACAAAAAACCAACACCTCAAAACCAGGTCCCCAGAACCAGAACCAATGCTGACAACCAGTCCTGGATGGATAGAGCAGTCCCTTCCAAGAGGCTACCTCTCCAGTCCTCAGCAGGAGGGTCAAAGCTGACCAGCAGATGGCGCTGTGGTGCCAAAAGGATGGTCCTGGGCTGGGGGAGGAGTGTCTGTGTTCATCTCCAGGCCTGGCGCACTGATGCACGGGAGTGGGGGTGCATGCCTGGGGAGATGTGATGGGAGGCCCCAAGGGCCCAGAGTCCTAGCTGGCAACTACTTCCTCTGTTTCCTCTGTACTTAGTCACCGACAGACTAAGTGCGGGGTGGGGGGGGAGAACGCATGGGTACTCTTCCCTTGGAGCCTTTCCCACTAGCTCTGAAAGAAAAGGCAAACACAACACAGAGGCAAATCCAAAGAAGGATGAGGATCAGTGTCCACAGTGGTCACAGGCACTTTCTCCACAACAGGCATCCATGACTTATGGGCAGCTAGCTCCAGCTGAGGCTATCTCCTCTCCCTCCGGAGTGAACACTCCCACCCCCTAAAACTCCCAGTGGCTGGCTTAGAAAAGGATAACGGGGATCAATATTCCTGAATAGGCCACAGATTACATGTCACATGCTTCTGTCACCAGCTTGCAGGGACCAGCTTTCTCCTTTCTGGGCTATTGGGGTTCAGAGTTAGGCCAGTAAGGGGACAACATTTTTTTAAAGAAGTAAAGGGTAGTATGACAGACCCATTCCCACCCCAGCAGATGGCAGCACAGAGGCCCTCTAGACAACAAGGACCTGTGTCTGAAGGGGAAGTCCCCATCCTAGACTGCTGTATGTTTTATGGTTAGTTTTGCTTTGTTTTTGTTGGTTTTTTTCTTTTCTGACTAAGCCTAACTATTTTTCTGTTGCTGTCCTGGAACTCACTATGCAGACCAAATTGGCCTTGAACAGCGGTCCACCCACCTCGCTTCTCTGGTGCTGAGATTGATTAAAGATGTGCACCACAAGGCTTGCATGGTTTGGAGGGTACCAAGCCCACTCTATCCTTGGGGAGCTCTGGGTTAATTAAGGGCTGGCTCTGGTCTCAACCCCACCAATGCAACTTGGGAACTGCTTTAACCATCAGTCCCAAGAGACCTTCTCTCCCGGGCTCAGCCCAACCCGTGCATGCCCTTTGCCCTAGAGACTTCCTGAGAACCAGCCACCTGGGACCCTCGAGAGTCTTTGTAGGAGTGAGGGCTCCAAAGAGCTAGCCCCAGGCTCTGAAAGGCGAGGAGGTAACATTAAGTCCAGCCAGTAGGATAGACAGCTCCCCCAGAGGAGGCCCCACCCCACTCAGACAGCAGCCAAAATGAAGGTGCCTTCCGGACACTGAGGTGGCCTAGGGCGCTTGGAGAAGGTAGGGCCACAGGTGATCCTTCAGTGGGGATGACAAGTTCTACTAGTTCTTACATGAGTTCTAACTACAGCCAGAACCCAGGGCAGGGTCAAGCGCCTGCCACACTCTGCTCTTTCCCCCGGGGGTGGGGAAGGGGGGGGAGGACAAACAACTCCGTGGGTCCATTTCTATTTCCACGTCACATCCTTGGGGCCTCAGGAAGAGCGCGATTCCAGGCCGGCACCCGTATTCTCTCAGCTCTAAGGGACGCCCGTGGCTGTCTTCTAAAACTCTTTGCCAGTTGAGGCTCTTAGCTCTCCAGACACCGAACATGAGGCAACCCACAGTTCCCAGTTTAAGAAGGGTCTCTAGACGCGCCACCACTGAATTTCCTTCTACCGGCCCCGCCTATGACCATCGAGCCTGCGGCCCATAGCCGGCTTTGCTTTGGAACCGGCGCCCCACGACACGCCAAGCTTCCGGGTGTCCCCGAATCTCTCTCTCTCCGCGGCTCTGCGACGCACGTGCACCCCAGCAGGCTGACACACAGCCTGCCACCACGCACGCAATGCCGTTCGTGCACGTACGAGCTTGGCCCGAATCTGCACACATGCCCCCCACCGCGTCCGTAGCTAGGGCACACGTGTGCAAGCCAGGAGGTTCGCCCTCGGAGCCCCCAACGGATCGACGCCCGATGAGACCAAGAGGGTGGGGGGCCCGTCTACCCACAGAGTCCGGGCAGCCACCTCCTTCGGGGCGATCCCGCCAACCTGGGCTGCAGCCAGAGAGTGAGTCAAGCGGTGGCGAGGAAACCGCAGGCGGTCCTGTTCCAACAGGGCTCGTCCACGGCCCCGCCGCACCTCTGCGCCCGCAGCCACCAGTCCCAAGCCCCACCCCCACCCCGAATCGGCGCCGGGCAATCCGCGTGAGCCCGGCCCCGCGAGAGGCCCGAGGGATCCGTCTGACTCCCCGCCAGCCCTACGCCCGGGCACTGCTGGGGCTCCGAGGCTCTACCAGGCCCTGGGAGCATCCAAGTCCTGGCAAAGTCTGGGCAACAGCACGACCGGGCCCCGCAGCCTGATCGCCCGAAGCCTCAGCACCTGGGCCCGGGCCCCTGCCCTGCGTCCCGGGGACGGCCGGTAGGGGCGCCCTGGGGCAGGGCCACCCGCCCCTTGCCCACGCGCCGACCGCAAACTCGGCCCAAGTTTCCGCGCCCGCCGGGCAGGAGAGCTCCTACCTTCAGAGCACCAAGCTTCTGGAGGCTGGCACCCGGGACCACGGCCCCATCCTCCAGCGCCACCTAGGCTGCGGGTCCCTGTCCGCCCGGCCTTGCGCGGGAAGTCACGGCAGGCACCTAGCACAGAGCCACGCTCCGCGCTGCCGTTCGCGCCGCCGCCGGGCGCCGTCTGTGGTCCCGGGCGGGGCGGGCCAGGGGCGGAGCGGGGGCGGGGCGGCCCGTTGGGTGGGGGCAGAACCCGGCTGTGCCTCTGGGAGCCTGCGCTCCCTTGGGCCCTCCCGTGCCGAAGGCCTGAGTGGAACCAACTTTCCCGCGACCCGGCCTCTGGCTTTGTACACCGCCTTCACTCGCCTAGCTCCTGAACGTCTGCCCCGAGGTCGGTCATAAGCCCTCATTCAGTCGTTCCGTTAGATCATTCATTCCTTGCCACTTTCTAGCCATGAGACCTTAGACCTGCCACTTAAACTCCAGGAACTTCAAGTTTCCTCATTGGTAAAAGTGGTATTGTCTCATAGAAATGGCAGGGCTGGCAGCCTTCGAAAAGACACATGGCACACAAACTGGGGTATGGTGATTTACAACTGTAAACCCTAGCATTAGGAATTGCCCAGACTTTGTGCTGAGCCTGGGATACCTAGCAATACTCTTTTGTTGTTTTGTTTTGCTTTGCTTTGCTTTGTTTTGTTTTGTTTGAGACAAGGTTTCACTATATAGCCGTGGTCTGGGAACTGCACTCTATAGACCAGGCTCACAGAAATCCGCCTGTCTCTGCCCCCCCAGTGCTGAGATTAACAAAACTCTTAACAATAAAAAATCAAAACGAGCCAGGTGGTGGTGGAGCATGCCTTTAATCCCAGCACTCGGGAGGCAGAAACAGGCAGATCTCTGTGAGTTAGCCAGCCTGGTCTACAGAGCGAGTTCCAGGACAGCTAAGGGCTGTGCACAAAGAAACCCCGTCTTTAAAAAAAATCAATAGATAAATAAACAATTAATTAGTTAGTTAAAACGATGCCACAAGGGAACCCTGACACCCTTGACCAGAACTACTTCGTTAGGAAATTGGAAGGAAGGCCTCATCAGGACAGGACAAACTACCTACAAATGCATCTCATCTCCTGTTAGCGATTTCCTTACCCGGAGTGGACCAGGAATGAGGCTCTGGGGGTGTTGCCAAGTGACCTTGATGGGTATCTGACCCTTTTTGCAGATGACTCCAGAAGCAGCCAGAGCATGAACAACCTGGAAGGTGGATGGGATGTAGCAGCCCTCGCCAGAAAAGATTTGCTGTGGAAAGGGGACGGGAGACCAACTGTGTCTGTTAGCCCGGACGATAGCCACTAGGTTGTGGAACCTTGCACTGTTTGCCACTACTCCAATTTTAAAGAAATCTGATACCTGTAGTTCTAAGGCTACCCAAAGGCCAAGGCAGGGGCAGCCAGAGAGGGAGGAGAATGGGTGAACGGCATACATACAGATCAAAATGAGTGCAGGGCAAAACCACTCAGGACACCACCCTGAACCACACAGGTCAGGGCTGCCTGAGTCAAAGCAAAACAGGGCTGAGTGCACAGGTGTGGGAGCAGCTGGAGCTGAGGAGGCGGGGCCGGGCTTCAGGTAGGTCTAGGAAGAGGAAGTGAGCTCACCCAAGGAGGGGGTATCTCTTGGATTGGAGTTGGAAGATATTTTTACAAATAGAGGTTGGGAAGGGGAGACTCTTGAGGGAGTTTGGGGTTTCCCAACCACAGTGCAGGCTGGAACAACAACCCAGATTGCCTGGGGTTTGTAGTTTCAGGCACTTTAACACCAGTCTGTGTGTCTGTGCCGTGCCAGCTCTGGGTCATGCCAGATCTGAGAGCCCTCTCTCAAACGGTTATTGTTTCCTGCTCTCACACCTCACTAACTCTGCCCTTCCCACCCTACTGCATAGCACCTACTCCCACTCCTACCTGCTGTTAGCTGGGAGGAAGGAAGACAGCGTCCTTGGCTCTGTGGTCTAGAACTCTCAGGTTGTGGGCCCCAGTAGGACGCCCATCAGACCAGGATGATCCTGCAAGACCCTAGGGCCCAGCTAAGACTTCAGCCCTCCCCCCCATTTTGTCTCAATTCAGAAACATCTCAAAGACAGTTGTCACACTAATCAGCTTGTCTGTTCCTTGTTGACATCACTTAAAAACTCTGGATGACCAAAGAAAGGACGCAGGGTGGAGGACTTGAGAGCCACTAGCAATTCCCTGGGCCTTAACTCGCTCAGCACAGAGCAGAACCATGTAGCCACCTGCCTTATGTAGACCACAGCATCAGCATCCAGCAGCACCCGTGAGAAACTGTTCATAAACTGCAGGAGACTATGGAGCGCTGGGCAATATGAACTCCTCAAGTCTCGGGCGTTGGCCTTCTCTCTCTGCCCCAAGGGTCACGTGCAGAGCCCGTAGCAGATAAAGGTAGCCCTTTCAAGGTGACTTGAGGGGCCCCCTGAGTTTGTGACCATTGTGGCCTTGGAGAGATAGTAATGTTTTGTCTGGAAGGTGAAGTCACGGAGTCAGAGCAGTAAAGAGAAGAGTTTAACGTGTGGCCTCGGGGGAGGGGGAACCTAGGAAAGCAGAAGCCTGGCACATGGAGTCTGGGTACTCAGAAGGCTAAGAGACGGGGAGCTGAGTACAAGGTAGGTTTGCACGACATAGTGAGTTCCAAACCAGCCTGGCCTACAGTGTGGGCATCTGTCCAAAAAGCAAAATTAAATACAACACAAAGTAAAACAGAAAAGTTCAGAGAGGGTTCTACTCCCTCCCCACCCCATCCCAGCCCGACACAGGCTTGAGACAGGTGCATGTCCTTCCCTGCCCTCTGCCTCCCTTCCTCCACTGGCACAAATTACTCCATAGAAAGGCAGGGTTAAAGGTCAGCTTCCTGAACTGCAGCTTGTCATGTTATAGTTATTAATAAAAATGTCCCTCCCACTAATGAGGTCATACCTGCTATTTACAAATATCTTTCCTTCCTCGGAGGAGAGGCAGTGATGGAAGCCACCCCTACTGGCAGAACACCAGACAAACCTAAAACACAGCCAATGCAATGTTTCCCTCCAGCTTTTGAGACCCAGCTATGAAATTACCTCCTTCAGGGGAGCCACCCCGACTATTAGCACCGCCCTCTCATCCTCATTCCTCCCCTGCCAGCAGAGGAAGATAGTGTGGGGGGGCGCTACATGGAGCTGGTTCTGTGCCAGCCACATGACAGTGTCTCACTTAAACCTCAGCACCAGATGAAGAATTTGAGAAGCAAGAAACTCACCAGGTCTGATAGTACATGGTGACAGCTGTCTATATAATCCCAGCACCTGGGAGGCTAAGATACAGCAGGATCAGGGGTTCAAGGAAGAGCCTATCTCAAAACAAAAACAAAACAAAAGGACAAGTGAACTGAGTTTGGCCTTCTGAGCTGTGTGACTTAAGCAACCTTGACTTCAGTTTGCACATCCGCCCAATGGGCAGAATTATGACATGTCACAGGGCTCCGATGACTTCACAGCTTAGTTCATAGTAAGCCCCAAACCACTTGCTCTGAGCATGGCGGGGGCTGCGGTACTGTTCTTCATAGCCAATAATAAATGGAGGAGTGAGATCTCCCCTCTTGGAATTTCTACATGACCCAGAACCCTCCTGAGACAAGGCTCAGATGCATCTGGGTCCAGGAACCCTCTGCCAGTCAAGCAAACACAGCCTGAAGTTGTGTTGTGTTGGTGGCCATTAGCCTGAGCTGACAGCACCTTAGGGAGTCTTGTAGTGTACAGCTTGGGAGGTTGAGGGCCATGGTTCTCAACTGAGTAAGGTAAGCTGTTTTTCAAAGGCATGCTGGCAAACCAAGACTCCCTTCTGCAGGAAGCTGGAGGCAACCACTTATCAGTCTGAATCTCCTGTAGCTCCTACTCTAGATCTACCTGTCCCCTCCATTGTCCCTCTTTACCTCTCTAGCCAGCCTGCCACAGCAGCCCCCAGGAGCCAACCAGAGTTCATTGCAATCCTGGATGCCTTGGCTTCTGATCAATCTTTGCCAATTCCTTCCAGCCCCCTCCAGGATGCCCTTCCTGATCTCTAGGCTGGTTTGAGGTTTTTTTTTTTTTTTTTTTTGGAAGCTATTTAGGCCTGGAGGGATGGCTCAGCCATTAAAGGCTAGGCTCACAACCAAAAATATAAGAGTTCGGTTCCCAGCACCCATGGCTGTCCCTCCAGGTATTAAAAAAAAGACAAAAGGAAGCTATTTAGATGCTTCGTTTCAAATAGCTTGGTTTCCAGCTCCCCCATGAGACTCAGGAAGGGCCCTCCTCCAGGGCAAGAGGCTGTCTGAGCACAGGGATTCAGTGCCTAGCACAGGGCTAATTCAGACCATAGCTGTGGAGTCACAATTGAATACAGAAGCGCTCTGCACATCTTCAAGCAAAGAAAGCCAAACAAGAAATCTGCCCTGTTCATCCCAGCACTTGTAAGACTGAGGTAGAAGGATCACTATGAATTCAAAGCTAACCTGGGTATATAGTAAGTTCCAGGATAGCCTGGGCTACAGAGTGAGAGCCTGTCTTGGGGATAGCAAGAAAAAAAGAAAAACCCATCTGGACACACTTTTATAAAATCTGTGTTCGCTCTGAGATACTAATTCTAAGCCTCTAAGATGCTAACAAAACTCCAAGCGCACAGTAGCCTGCCTCCTGCCTCTATTGAAATATAGAACAACAGACACCGAAAAGGCCCGGTTCTGTGCTCAGGACACCAGGCAGAAGGGTTTACAGCCCAGATCTCCCGAGGCTGGTTGTCTACACGGTTCGTGTTCTCTCTCTCTTTCTCTCTCTCTCTCCCTCCCTCTCCATTTTCCTGCCAAAATGAAAAATCCATCTGGCTGAATTCCACCTGCCTCGTGTGCCCTGTTGTCCCCTCCAGGAGGCCACCAGCTGGGAGCTGGAGTGTGTGCTACCCGCTATGGAGAAGCACCCTTCCCCATTAGTGTTGTGGGAGCTCTCCCTCTTCAGGCCTGTCCCTGCCCACCCCCAACCACCCTAATCACTTACTCCTCTATCCCAATCCTTTCTCCCCAGGGTTCCCCAGGTTTCCCCTGGCATGGGCAGACACACCTGTTTTCAGGATAGCAGTTTGGGAGAAAACAAAACCCTGAGCCCAGTGTCT